ACCGTGTTGATATTCTGGTCTTCCCGCTCCTGCAAAGCAGCCTTATTTATCCCAAACCAACCAGCCTCCTCCTGAACACCAGTGAATTATACCCGGCAATATCTAATGCGACGAACGGGCACCACGTCTGAGCAGATGACACAGTGCTGTCCCCTCATGCAAGACAAAGCTTCCAGATATCTGTGCTCAGGCAACGCATTAGCGCTGGCTGAAATGATGCTCCCCGCAGCTTCCACGTGCACACGGTAAAGAGAGAGAGGGGGGAAAAAATAGCAGGCAGCGCTTTGCCTCTCAAATGATCACCACGCAAAGTATTGACTTTTCAAAATAATCTCATCAGTGCTGCTGGGTACAGAATTTATTCTGCATCCGATGCGGAGGCAGCCCTGTTGTTTAACCATTCAAACATGCTCTGACTTCAAAAAGCATTTTAGGCAAGACAGAGAGGTTTATTTTAATTAAAAGCCTCGAGTTCAACATGATTATTACTTCTGTTCCTGTTGCCTGCCCCCAGGGACTGGAGATCCACTACACTACGTCCTGTGCAAACTATTTAACACTTGTGCCTGAAGGTCTTTGCACTTAGAAACAATCTGGGCAGAAATTGTAAATGAATATGAAATCCCAGTTTCTCCCCTCCCTTTTGATCTCGCTCTCTGGCTCAGAATGGCAGGGCACAGTGGACAGATTTGGAGTCTGTTTGCCAAAAAAAGGGAGCTAATATTTACTGCTAGCGATGTTTGTCTTTTCTGTAATGCTCTTGATCTAAATCGCTTTACAGAGCTGAATGGCCATGCATTGGAAATGCCTCAAAACTCACTTGTACAAAACACAGCCCCCGGAGCGTAACTGGAACCAGATTCATATTCCCTGAGCTCTGGAAAAACAAATTCTCATGCCTGAAAATTGATCAAATAGCGTCTCTCTGACTACACAAGGGCTACCGCATCACTGCAAAACCACCGCCGGACACACTGACAAAAAAACACTTTGGGAGAGTGAATGTGAGCACCAGCAGGAGTAGCTCAGAGAAGGTGGGCAGGAGAAGGCGAGTGATGGGTGGCCACTTTTTAAAAAACACAGAGGGGGAAAAAGATGGAGAGAGAAGGGGGCAGACACCCCGTGAGAGACCATGGGAGGTCCAACACCCCTGCACAGGGCCAGGCTCACCTCCTCCCACTGGCTTCCAAAACAGATTTCAATAGCTACTCCCAATATCTCATCTATGCTCTTTCTTTCTTTACATTTTGTTTTGAATAAATGCAGACCCTGTGAAAGCAGCCAAAGGAGAGGTTTGCGTTGTTGCTGTAACCTTGCCATGGCAGGTCTGCCCCAAACCAGGGAGAACAGGGCTTCAGCAAGTGCTTCCAGACTTCAAGCTCCTCCTGACCATGATCCTGCACCCTGAGGACTGGTTAATGGTTACCGGGCTGCTGTGTACTTAAGAAAAAATACTTACCATGGAATCACTGAATGCTTAGAGTTGGAAGGGACTTTAAAGATCATCTTGTTCCAATCCCCCTGTTATGCTCAGGGACACCTCCCACCAGACCAGGTTGCTCAAAGCCCCGTCCAACCTGGCCTTGAACCCCTCCAGGGATGGGGCAGCCACAGCTTCTCTGAGAAACCCAGGCCAGGGTCTCATCAGACAGTTTAAGATTTAAGACAGTTTAAGACCATCTTAAAAGTTTAAGACAGTTAAAGATGTCTGTGCCCGGGTACACGTTACTGCCACTTGCTCAGTGTTGGCATGAGGATGAGAAAACTGTTTTGAAGCAGAGCAGGAGGCACCTGGGGATGTTCTCCACAAAACGGTGCTTGGTGTGAGCTGCGTCTCACTCGGGAAAGAGCCTTTCTGAGATGGAGGAGAGTCCATGTTTCCTCAGCTCTCCTGATATCATTGGTCTATATTGACTTGGCCTGACACTGTATTTGCTAGAATAATTTTTCCCTCCTGTTAAATACCTCCTGACCCATCTGAAGGACCACAGAGAGCCATTCTAACTGGAGCAGAACTGATCGCTGCTACCTGAGAAAGCAAGAGTCAGCCACCTTAAACACACACCGATACGATTCAATTTAAAGCCCACACGGGAAATCAAGGAAGGAAAATACATCTGAGAGACCTTCCATGCCTCTAGCACCTGCCAACACTCAGGTCTGGGCCAGATCCTGCTTCTCTGGGGCTGGCCATTGCTCTTTGGGCAACACATCCAATAGGAAGGATGCACCCTTCCCCTATTATTTCAAGCCTGCCTCTTCCACGCATGATCCCTCTCTCTCCTCCCCATTCTTCCACTGTTTCTACCCCCTCCCCGCCTCCTGCAGCCCCACTGCTGTTGTTGTAAGATCCTTCCCCTCTGCAGCTTCTGCCATCTGGAACCGCCTTCCTGTATCCCACCAACTCACTCCCAGCTTCGTCTGCAAACTCATCTCCAGGCCCTTGCCTCTTCCTTTGAATTTCTCTCTCCTTCTGCTGCTGTTTATTATTTAACTCTGTCATTGCATTATTTAAAGCGCTATTAAGGCACGCTTGGAACAGAGTCTGCACAGAAGTGCCATGGTGTAGAAAGCTGGACCGTCGGCAAAAATACCCCGAGAGGCAAAATTGTGACAGCTGGGGCAAGCTGTTTGGGTGGAAGAGGGGGAGGCACTTTCTGGATGCCAACATGGATTTTCTCTCCCTCTGGGAGATATAAGAGCCTCTTCAAGATGCCTTTTGCTGCCTGAAGCTTTGGGGTGAGGTTTCCTGGTAGCCATGCCCAGCCAGCTGACACCAAGACAGAGTTGTTCCTTCTTGGCCCACCCTGGCTGCCCTTGTCACCTAGTACCACTCAAACCACAGGCTTGTGGGCACCATCCCCTCCTTAAAATCATTCCTTGGGGATAATGGCAGAGGGGAAATGCTCTATCAGCAACCCAAACTCATCCCCCTCTCCCTGCTACTCCTTTCCAGCAAACGTGAAAATCGCACGCCAGGGACATATAGGAAACACAGCCAGGTCTTGATTCTGATTGTCTCATTCTTTCAAATCAGACATAATCCCACAGGAGACAATGCAGACACATAAATGGTTTGCTTAAAGATGAGGTGACTTATGGCCCTGCAGAAGGTGTGGGCAAAGCCAGGTGGGAATGGGCAAAGGGAACCTGTTCCCTTAATGGCACTTCCCTATGTGGTTTTACCCTTGCTTTTTCTTCAGGAATAAGCAGCAAAATTACTGTATTCTTCATGAGTTCTGCTACCCCAGGAGAAAAGAAATGTGAGATGAAGCCTTCTCTTCAAGGGCTTTGAAATCCAAGAAAGTGCTATGTAAAGAGATGTATTTTTACCCTTACAAGTAAAAGACCATAATTTTTTTTTTTCCGAGGCCCTGGAGCACTTGTGCAATTCAGTAAAAGCTTTGCTGCCTGCGGAGAAGCCCCAGGGCCATCCCTTCCCACCGCGGGGCCGGTTACCTGAAGTCTCTGCACTCTTTTGACTCATCCCACCGCAGTTTTGGGGGCAGAAGGGCCACGGTCCCCGCTGCATGAAAGAGCAAGGAGAAAGCTGAGTCCTGGAGTCCCGCTGCTCTACAACCAGAGCACACGTCCTCCCTTCCTCCTGTCCTCTAAGCAAAGCCACCACAGGCGTCTCCATGGGCCAAAGGGTCACTAAACGGCCGCGGGTTAACCTGTGAGGCGAATTTTAGGGAGGGCTCCAGACTTTTCTGCTTCCCCATCAAAGGGCTCAGCTCCTGAACTTGATTTCCCCAACGGATATTTTTGCTTCTTGAAGGGCTCCAGTGAGGCCAGTCTCACCAGGAGGTCTGGGAGGCACTGATGGCTCGATGGGATGGGATGGTGCTTCCTCCCTCCCCATTGCCCACGTGCTGGGATGAGGCTTGTGAGGTGCAACGGGGGCAACGAAACATTTGTGACTCTCCCAGTCCTGCCCTTCGTGCAGTGGGTTCAGCCCTCGCATCCCCCCAGATCTGGTACAAACCACCACAGCTTCACCAAGGCCAAACTCGCGCTTTGACAACCGAGCACTAGAATCCAGACCAGGATTTCCAGAGTCATTTCCAGCACATGCCAGGAGGCCAGGAACCAGCTTTTAAAAGACTTTTAAAAAGACTTTTACAAAACTCCACCCAATTCAGTCTGGACAGTGCTGGAGGGTAGTAAAAGAAGACATAAATGCTTATATCCAGGTTTGACTCTTTTGATTCACATAAACTTGGTAACACTAAAAGTTTTTTAGCGAGCAAAGGCTGTTGGACGATCAATGAAATGAGCAGTAATCTCACAGGAAGCCACACATTTAATCCGTTGGCAAGAAATGCGCAGCACTGTGTTTTGGGAGGTTTTTAATCCCCACCATAACAGCCTGGACTGCCCTTGCTTTTCCAGGAAGGTCTAACGCTCTTTAAAACCGCACGGCAGGACAGAGATGAGGAGCTGCCAGACCTTCCTCTCCTCCCAGGCCTGGAACTGGCAGCACCAAAACACCCCCAGAGCAGCACCACTGGTAAAACTTGCACCGACACAATTCCATTATCCTCATCAGCCTCAGACCTCAATTAACCACAGAAGCACCGATCAGACGTGACCTCCTCAGAGCATCCCTCCGCCACAGCCAAGGGACATTGAACAGTGGCACGCTCCTGAGAGCAGCCGGGCAGGTTCAAGGTTCCAAACTCAAAAGACTCATAGAGAAAAGTGTTTTTCTCTTCCAAAAATTAATTCCAAAATGCTCCCAAACATGTTGCACCAGTAAGTGTTGTGTTCAGCTGCAGTTCATCCACAGCAAGGGCTTCCCCTTCCTCCCACAGTAGGCTCAGCTGAGAGCAGGTCCCTCCAACAACACGGGACCGTCTGACACTGCACACAGTGAGAGGGACCCGAGTAGTCTTCACACAAGCCATCACACTTCCAAAACCTCTTGTGCTCCTCAACAAATCAATTCTGGAAGCTATTAATAGCTGGCTAAAGATGCATTTTAAAAAATGACCACTTACCTGCCAGAATATGCTGTCTATTGTATTTCCCAGAAAACCATCTCTGCCTTCTGATGATACCAGCTTAGGTCCCAGAATAGTCATAAATTCATCAAAATCAACCTGGCCATCCCCTGGAATGAAAGAAAAGGATCACTGTTTTCACTGAAGTACCACTTAGTGCCAATGTCCAACATGCTGCTCTGGATCTGCTGCATATCATGGATCCACACATACATTACAGCACCTTCTACATCAACTTCAGGGTACCTACAGATCCAAATTTGTTGTTATCCGAATGAATGGCCTGCGTTGTGGCCCACCCACACTTGAAGACAGGACTAGGTGATGCACAAGCAGAGATTAATAGGTTGTTTCCCTGCCCCAGAGAGTTTTATAGGCAAGTCACTTCTCAATAAAAACCAATTTTGGCAGGAGGACAGTGGCCAGCAGCGTGGCCAGGGCTCTTCCCCTCTACAGAGCCGCCCAACAGCCAGGTCTCTGCACAGCTTTAACAGGGTCAACCTCTGCCTCCAGAGGAAGGGAGTGCACGCAGAGGGAAGAGCCAGATTATTGCGAATCCACAAGGCATTTCATTTCAGCTTTCAACCAGCATCCATCTCTTAGCAGCCCTGTGTGCTCAGCATGCAGAGCAGGCAGTGGAGACACAGCTTCAGTGCCATTAGCAGGAAGGGGAGACTGCTCCTGCCGTTAATTAACTGAGCCTATGCAGTCCCAAGCCCCTCCAGTATATTGTATGTTTTGTAAATGAGGCATGTGGCTGTTTGAAGTATATCTGAGCATTGTATCAAATATTACTTTTCCCTCAGAGAACTTCTGCGGTGCTTAATGAAAATGGCAAAAAAGGGAAATTCATTCCTGTTGAAGGATCTAAAAAATTCGAGCTTCTTTGAACAGGGTAGTTCAATGCCTGTATGCCTCTCCTTTGTCTGTCAGTCCATGGACATATCCTCCTACATGTTACCAGGCCAATTGACAGAGGTGGATATATTAGCCCTCCTTCAAGTCTGGAAACAGAATCAGCAACTGTAAGAGTTTCTGGTTGTTTTTTTTTCAAACTCCACTGGAACTGACTGCATCCACCTCTCCATGTAGTTGCTGTTGCTAAATTATTAGGTGTAGGAAGTGTCTAAAACCATCAGACTAAAGCAGATCGGTGCAAGGGCTACTATTAAAATGTCACTATTGACTGCAGAACCTGCAGCAGCCCTGCATGACAGCTTTACCACGTGCCCTGCATGCTGCTCCTATCGCTCCTTTTTATAATATTTCATATGCTTGATCTGACCATATGCACCACTGATTGAAATCTCTCCATGTCCTTATCTTCGCAGAAACACAATGTGAAAATGAGCAGAGTCAAAATGCTCGTTTGCCAGAATAGTGAGCTCTATTCACTTGGCTCTGCCCCTAATTTATCGAAGACAAGAGTGAATATCCTGGGGGTGAGCCAGTGACAGGGGCTCTGAAAGGAAACCCAGGAGGGATTCATAATAACTTTGATCCCGTAATGTTCAAGAAGACCCCATCCAACTGCTAAAGTCACTCACACCTTCAGGACTCAGCACATGCTGAAGGGCTTTGCAGGGCTGGAGAGGGCTGAGTTCTTGCAGGATGGAGCTCGTTTCTGGGACAGCTCATTAAGCAAAAAAGGAACGGGGTGGGCACCCCATCACTTGGAAAGCCATGCTTTAAAACATTTATGGGCTACGAGGAAACGTGTTCCTTCTGCTTCCCCATGAGAGGCATCAGTTTATGGCATCAAGTCGGATTGTATCAGTCACAGCACGTTGGATCACGTTGGGGAAGGTAATGCAAGGTGACAGTGGATCCGGGGCGATTTACATTGCAGTACATCACTTACACGGAAAGGCAGTAACAAAACCATACACTATGATGCAAATCGGGTTAAAGAAATTAGCCAGATTAGCAAGAAAACAATTTGCATGTTAAAGAGATTCTAGTACCTGCCCGTGCATATATTTGGTCTATCCATATGCAACCCCAAAATACTGAGTTATTTAATTAGCGTTTTCTACCATGTCATGTCATCCACAGAGGAGAGGCAGGACTCAGTCCTACACATGACTCATGAGAAAGCGGGTGCCAGGACTCCTGGGCTCCGTGTCTGACTCAGAACAAGACTTTGGGCAAACCCTTGCTCATGACTTCCATGTGCCTTTGCCAGGGATCATAACTAACTTCACGGGGTTTAATTATCAGCTTAATTATAGCATTTTCCACAACCTCAGAAGAACGATGCCATTACAAAATGCATTATATCCTTATTGACTGCTTTTTCAATTAAAGCTGTTAACTGGCAAGGAAACTAGACCCCAAAACATTTTGCCTGGTAGAAATATCCCTTTAACATTTGTTTTAAGCTGCAGAAAACAAACCTTCCTGCCATCAGGATCCCAGGAGACTGCAGCATCATCATATCAAGAAAGAGAACTCACAATTTTGGCTGAAAATTCCTTTTGCGGTATTCAACAGCCAGGAGAGAAATATTATAAAAAACAACACATAGGCTCCAAGAGGCACCCAGTGCAGCTCTGCACGGCTGCAAGGTGAAAATGCTCAAGGCTCACTCTCTAGAACCACGGCATAGCCAGGTGATGCCCAATACCCACATCTCCTATAGGGTCCATCAGCGTTTAGGCCACTCATCACCTCCTGGGATCGCTCAGCTTGAAATCTGTGTTGGGTACAGTCAAAAGATGCCTTCCTCCTCCTCCTCCTCCTCTGAGCCACAGTCACGTACACAGTGCTACAAGCTGATGTGCGATGCACACATCAAGCATCTGTTTGAGAAGCTGCACTGGAGCCAAACCAAGCACCGCGCACGTCCCCACGTCTGGCTTCGCTGTGCCCACAGATGTGCTCCTCGCCTGGGAGCAGCTGATACTCAGAGCGAGCGACGTGCAGCTTATTCAGAAATGAACTTTTAGTTGGGTTTAAGGGCTGGGAGGAAAAGGCCAGGCTGGAGCATGTGTACTGTCTACACTGCTTTCACCTTCCCTTGCTCCTTTCCACGAGCCACCCAGCAAGCCCCAAACATCACTGCTGATGAGCAGTCACACAGCCCCAGTCCCACACCATCCCCACAGGCCAATTTATAATGTGTGTGATGCTCACATCCTCCCCCCACCTTCTGCCTCCAAGCTCATACTAACTACTTGAGCCAGAACTCATCACCCTGAAGGAAACCAACCTTGTAAAGAGGGAGGGGGCACAAGCAGGTGAAAAGCTATGGCCAGGATGGAACGAGTTGTGATCCCCATCCAGTGATGGCCACAGCAGCTCTCCTCTCCCTGCTCCCACCAGATCCAAATGCAGATGAGGTTTATAAACCCAAGCCATGCTGAAGTCCCTGATCAGTGAATGCACTCACACGTTGCAATAACTTATTTACAAACTGGGAGGGCAGGGAAACCTCACAGCATGGTGTTGTGGGTCAGCTGGGGCAGGGGAAGACCATCAGGTGGAAAGGGGGGTGAGGAGCAGAGGGATTCCAGCCAGGATGCGATCTAGATGCCACCCCATCCCTGAACCACCACCCACAGCCAAGGGACAGACACTGCTGGTGTGGGTGGTCTTAGCAAAACACCGGAGCTGAGCTTAACTCCTGGGTTTAAAACCCCTAAAACATTTATTTATTTACTTACCCTTACGCCTTAACATTTTCCTTCCCCATAATGCTTCCAGGCACTAATGTCGAAGAGTCAGAAGGGGGTTAGCAATCATGTGGCTGAACCTCGCATGACTAAAACTATGACTCAGATCATCACTGGCCACATCATCAGAGACAAATCAGATCTGCTTATCATTACTAGTCTGTTAGCATTGGTTGGGCACTAAGTGCTTCCAGATACCCACAAAGGTTGCTCCCTGCAAGACACTGTCTCAGTCCTGATAAAACCCAGGCAAATGTGATAATAAAAAGGAACATCAACTAGATGCACTGTCAATGGGCCCAGGGACAATCGTGTGATCCTGCTTAATTGCTCCATCGCAGAAAGAGGATGCTGAAGGCATCTTTGGGTCCTCTGGGAACATTTGCAGTACCCAAATACATGGCCAGCAAGGGTTCCTAAACCTGCCAACGTGACAACACTCATTGTTCACTCACTCGGTGCAGAAAGACCTTAATAATTTGAATTTGAAGACCTCCAGCATCCATGTTTGCCATGCTGTGAGATCAGTTTGGCTGTGACCACAGAGCTGCAGCAGGGAAACATCATAGAATCATGGAATGGTTTTGGTTGGAAGGGACATTAAAGGGACATCTCATTCCAACCCCCCTGTCAAAGTCAGGGACACCTCCCACCAGACCAGGTTGCTCAAAGCCCCGTCCAACCTGGCCTTGAACCCCTCCAGGGATGGGGCCTCCAAAGCTCCTCTGGGCAACCTGTTCCAACACCCACTTATGCCAAGGACACTGAAGGCAATGGAGCAGCAGCTAAGAGCAGCATGGAGCTGGAAAACGAAGCTCTTTTTCCAGCTCCCCCAGAAACTGCAGCCCCAGGACATTTGTTTTGGACATGACAGGCCCAAGGAAGGGGTGTCTGCACCTCTGAAAAATGGCAATGAGTTCTTCTAAATAAACCAATTGGATGTGGAAAAAGGAAAAGCACTAATGACTCCGTGTGTAGAGGAGCCTTTAAAACTACCACTGCACTCCCAGGGAGCAAACTCTGGGTTGGATGTGTATGTTGGGAGGAGCCAAAGGAGTGTCCAGCACTTTTGAAGGGGGATTTACTCTCCTAGGCTAATTGCTTTCAACCCCAATTCCTTCATATTGGTGTTGTGCTTCCAGATCCCCAGGTCAAAGGAGTTTCAAGGTGGTACCTTTGTTTCTTGCTGGAGGTGCTGTGCTTCACTGGTGCATCGGAGCTGAGCACAGAAAATCACAGCCTTCTATCTAAGCTGATGGACTTTCAGCTACAGCCCAAGGAGTTTGTCTTCCCTGAGCATCCTGACTTTAATGAAGAGGAGAAGGGAAGGTTGTATTTGCTGAAGGACGTTTAGCAGGAAAAATAGAGCGTTTGAGGGCAGGCAGAGCTCTGCAGTCACCTCGTCAGGGCACCAAGGAGGACAACCACTGCATGAA